ATATATATATATATTCTTAAGATAATCTTGCTTTCTTATCTACATATATATGATCCTAAATTAAATGCAGCTGGAAATGCACCTAAAGCCTTTTGTGATCGTGCATTAAAGCACTTCCGCTGTGTCCCACGTTAGAGGCTCGTTGGAAGTTGCATCAGGCAGATTAAAAGGCGTCGCTGTGTGGTTTCGACGCTGTTTTATAAAATAACGACAAATCTAAGCATCTGCAAGCGGCACTGATCGCCGACGTCTTTCATCTGTTAAAGTAATCGCAGTAATATCGTATGTCCAATATACAGAACCTCCAGTCCTTCGGTAAGTTTGCAAACGGGAATCATCTCGAGCATTGTCTGTGTAATTTGTTCTGTGTGCTCATAAATGTATTAGTGCGAAACTATTGCTTAAATACAGTAAATTCAACGAGTAACTAACATTTGTCTTTTAAAAAAAGTATGAGTGGTAACATGGAAACATCAGAATTTTAAAACCGTAGAAGTCGTAGGGAGAATAATGACGCGTTTTTAGACAGCGAAACTATTGCTTAAATACAGTAAATTCAACGAGTAACTAACATTTGTCTTTTAAAAAAAGAAGTATGAGTGGTAACATGGAAACATCAGAATTTTAAAACCGTAGAAGTCGTAGGGAGAATAATGACGCGTTTTTAGACCACTTATTTTCCTCATTTACTTATTTTTTATTTATTTATACTCCCCTTGACTAAATAGTTGCCTTTTAGTTAAACGTGTAAGATTACTTTTAAAAGTTATCCAGTAATCAAATAAAGTGTATTTTTGTGACCCAGATTTTGTCTTAAGAAGTCACTTAAAAGTCCCAAAATGATGAAAATACGTGTATGTGTGTATTGGTGACAAACCACAATCAGATGTTGCTCATTATTTGATCTCCTTCCCATTGTGCGACTTTCAATTCCTCTTCAGTCTTGAGCTCTTATTGTGTATGAGAGATTGGCTTCTTGTAACCAAGACTGAAATGTTTCATTGTTTCTCTGTAGATCCCTTTGCTGATGCAACTAAGGGTGACGACTTGCTCCCGGCTGGGACTGAGGATAAAATCCATATAAGGATTCAACAACGGAACGGCCGCAAAACGCTGACCACCGTGCAAGGCATCTCGGATGACTATGATAAAAAGAAACTTGTAAAAGCCTTTAAAAAGGTATTTTCTAACTTCGGTTATTTGAAAACGTTACTCCCAAAGTGCTATTTGATGAGTAATATTGCACGGTTTTATTTAATAGAAATTTGCCTGCAATGGTACAGTGATCGAGCACCCAGAGTATGGAGAGGTGATTCAGTTACAGGGGGACCAAAGGAAGAATATCTGTCAGTTTCTGATGGAGGTAATGTATGCTTATGTTTGGAATATCATATTACTAGTTGCAAGCTGTTTCTCTTTACAAAGTATGTTTGAATTGGATAATTTGATTGCCCTTGTGTTTGTTTGACTACCAATCAAATTGGTTTAAGTAGTTACTCATTTTCATTCTCTATTTCGCAGATCAACATCGTAAAGGAAGAGCAGTTGAAGGTTCACGGATTTTAAAATGCTGCCCCCTCCAGGGCTTTCTATAGGACTGCACCAGCATGTAGCAATCCTAGTATATTCATGGCAAGGTTTTTGTGACCATATGCTAACACTGACAGCAGGGTAAAACAGTGTTTTTGCAGTCATTTCAAGCTCGAATCTTCATAATGACCTCAAGCGGACCACTAATTCTAGGCTGGTCTGAATTAGAAATAACCGAAGTTAGAAAATACTGAATCTTTGTTGCTGATGCTTGTGAACGTTTTATGATAGATGCATTATCTTTTTATCAAGGACAATAAAATTGTGACTTTGCACATTTGTGACTATTTGTCTTCTCTTCCCTCATAAAATTTGGTATGTGAATGTTTATTGTAGCAAAGTATTTTAAGACTTAACTTTCAGGACTGTCAGAACACAAGCATTGCTTATTTAAATCTAGATTGCACGAATGAAACGGGTGCTTGTATATTTGTTCCACGTAGTTGGTATGAAGTCAAAGTATTATGACTTTTTTTTTTTTTCCAGTATTGTAATAAAACTGAGCAATTAGATTCTAATGGCCAATTAACAAAATACTTCAAAAAAAAAAAATGTATATATATTTTTTTTTAGCATGGGCTAGAGGTTTTATGAAGGAAATTATCTTGAATGGATGTACTAATTTCCATTGTGGTGCATTATTCGGAGGAAGTTTATAATATTGACCATGTTTCTGGTTTGTAAACCGCTTTTGTTCACTCTCGTAGTTTGGCTCATTGTCAGGGCTGGAAATCCTTTCAGCTGTGGCCTAAGTCTGCAGTGTCCTGGTTGTCCCGCCAGGCTCAAACATGAGTGTAATCCTCTTTAAAGGGCATGGAATGGCATTCATGACTGAGGGACGCCAATCTCACTGAGCCTGTGTGGGCATTTCGAACACTTCTTACCACAGCACGACAGTCTGAAAAATAATTACTTGGGACTATTTGCAATGATTAAACCATTCAACTGTTTGTATTTTGGGAGAACACACGGTCCTTTTAATAACTCAAATACAACAAGTGTGAAAAAGTAGTGTTGGGCATTTTGTTTCAACCCAATGACTCAAATATTTTGAATGCTTTCACCAAAAAGATTTGTTCACTGACCAGTGCGTTGTGAGTCATTTGAATCATCAATTGAATCATTCTTCAAATATTTTTCCTCCGTTTTTACTGCAAGGAGGTGACTTTTACCAAGCTGTAAAAACAGCGAGAATAAGCCTAAATTAATACAAATATAAAACTTGGTTATTTAAAATGTTTCTGCTGAAAAAAAAAAAAAAACAATAGACACCATCACAACCCTGTGGGTCTTTATTGGTAATTGGTCACCTTCTATTGATGGCTTTGTTAAAATAATAAATCCTAATGGAATATGTCCCAAAACACACTACAGAAAACAATTTTTAGTGGTTAAAAGTTGATGGATTGTAATGGTATTTGTATCGAAACCATTAGAATTTTCTCTGATGGTTCTATTGGTTTTTTTCAGCAGGGTCAATATTGTAACAGCACAATTTTGTATATGATCATCGGTCATTTTTACATATAACTTCTAAACCCCATATCTCCTTGTTTGTGAATGAGATGTTTATCCTGCGGGAACGTGCCGTTTATCAAGCTATGAAACCGCAATAGCCCAAACAAACACAAATTATAAAAAAAAAATATTTAAATTATATATGACCATCAGTCACTTTCACATAGTCATAAAACCCCACATAGTCATAAAACTTGTGAACGGGGTGTTCATCGAGTTTATTCACAGACACTTGAATCTTTCATGTAGCCTAGTTTTACTATAGTTCTTTCAGTTCGTTAACAAACGAGATATCTCGTTCTCATTGCAGTAAGTAACGAGAGACAAAGGGAAAGGTTTTTGAGCCATTTTGCGGATGAAAGTGACTGAGAACATTCAAAAACAGATTAAT